AAAGGCAGTAAATTCTACTTCGTTGACATTCGCACGGTAATGTGAAATTCAGCCAGGTCTTTTAATGTACTTCACGGGTAAATGAGCATCGATGATGCCAATTTTAATTCCTGGTTTGGACTGAACGTGGGAAATTGTTACTAACTACAATTAAGCTCTAGCTAGTTCAAACTCCTTGTATAATTTGATGACAAAGGTTACATTTCACATGGCGAACATGAAATTTCAGAGGTCTCCAAAAGCAGCTCAATGTCCGAAAGCTGTCACCCTTCGAGTTGATCCCAACGGACACATCCTTTACTGGATGCCACGGGTGAGCTTTGCCGAACCATTTATTGAATCATGCAAGCCTTTTTGGGATTACGCAGGTCCCATGTCACCCGTATCGCCAGCGGAAAGTGACCGTCAATTTCTAAATAGAAAACACGAACGAGGTGGTGAACCTTAAAACTTTTTCTTACTACGCGGGTATTTTAAGAGCTCTCTTTAATTGGGCTAAGGATGGAATATTAAGAGCAGGATGAACGATGCCAAGATTGTGGCACTTGTTATGTACTGAGATCCCTCGCTGGTGTATATAGAATAGCCATGCAATATTTATTATATTATGAGCATACCACTGTATCAGAGGAATGGCCATAATGGCCGCAGGCTGCTGTCGGTTGGAAGCGTGGCTTCAGGACCCGAGGCCTGGCGGGGTCACGGGCATCGTCCAGAATGCCATCCGAAGCTCCTCCTCCAGATGCTACCATCCTCCTTCGGTTCATGTCGGACATTCCTGAACAGTTCACGTCATCATCGATCCTTAGCGTGATTCATCCGAATCGCGTTGATCCCTGTCGGAGCCGGTAAGACTCTTACAATGCTCAAATACAGTATTGTTCTCCTACGGATGCGAGGCATTCCAGGGAGAAGGGAGCGGGTACTCGATGTGGTGCCAACCCGTTCTTCACCAACTGCCGAACAAAAATTGGGAAAGCGTCGCGTCAAACTCGGTCTCCCTGTCACGCCCCAACATTCACAGCGATTAAGGCTGCATGAGAAACGAGATGCTCAGTGGCAAGCCTATGAGAGAAAACAGCAGAAACGTCAGGACCCCATAGTAAAGACCACCCTACATTCCTCGCTGAAAGAAGCAGAGGTGCTGAGAGGTCCAAACGCTACATGGATTCTGAGAGTGAATGACTTATGACGACGAAGTCATTTGAATTTGAAGTAGCACTACTCCTTTTTTTCGACAGTCTCTCCGTTTTATTTGGATATTTACTTATTTTTCATTCTTTCTAATATTTTTTTAAAAAATTACTTTTCTGTAAGAGGCCAATGACTTTAGTTTTGCTTCCGCTTGTATTTCGTTTTTACCATTTTTATAGCCTGGTGTCAGCTGCAATCAATGGTTGATAAGGTGTCATAACTTTCTGTGTAACGGCTACTATCAACAAAAAACGCAAACATTAATAGCGCCTGCGAAGGGCGGGAACATCGCTACAGGGTGGAGAGCCCTCTACTTCACTACGCTCTGCTGTCACTCCCACGTAATCCCATCACGGGAGAGGAACCCCTCTACAAACTTACGAATCTGGGTAAAAAAATCTGATGTGAGTAATGAGTTCGATGTTCAAGTGGTTCAACACATTGACTGTAGGTCAATCAGAGAATAAGCGAAGCAAGAGTAAGCGAGTAAAAAAAACAGGGAAAAAAGGAAGTGAAGAGAACAGTAAAACAACATACTCTTTATGTTGCCCGAACTGGGTTTCCTTTTTTCCGAACGAGTTTGTTATTTGGCTGCTCACTCCGCCTTGAAATGCAACCGCTTCTTTTTCTTATCCAAAGACAAGTTCGAGGACAAATCCCGTTACCGATGCTAGGGCTGAGTAATAATCCGATTAAACTTATTTGGCAGAAATAAAAAGAATTTGAAGAAAGGTTTAATGGTATCATGAGAATTATTTGCTTTTTGAGGACGCTGGAGAGATTTAGGAAGGCTGGGTTTGGAGCGGCGCCACCCTGTTCTCCACCAACTATGAAAGCTGGCAGGCAACTCAATTGGTAGAAAAATGACTGGTGCCACGCCAAACCCAGCCCTTTAAAACGCCCCAGCGTGCGCAGCAAAAAGCCTGTATTTCACCAGCAAATGAATATGCTGAGAATAACAAATATACTACCGGAGAGTCGCACTCTCCCGGGGCCTCGCTGAAATCTGAATGTAAAAACAAAACAAAAGAGGATCAAAATTATTCTAAAAAACTCCAAAGATTCAAAAAATCCAGAAGTTTTCGCAAAAAACTATTACTTCTATTCAAATGTGTAAAAATGAAAAAAATTTTGCCAAAATTTTTGGATTCTCTTGGATTCCTGGGGGCTTTTACAGTTAGTTTTGATGCCTCTTTTGTTTTGTTTCAACAAATATACTGTTGAAAGATGTTTTAACAAATATACTGTTGAAGAAAGCTGATCGTTAATATAATTTTAGACAGGCGAAACTTCGAACTACATCTTCATTCAAGACATTGTGGACGTGCGCGTCGGAATACAAGCTGCTCATGCATTTGTATGTGTTTTTTCAAGTAAATTATCCTTAAAGTTCAGGTAAAAAGTTGCCAGAGAATTTTTGAAGACTTCTACCTTTTGCTTGTCATAAATATGAAACTAATAAATTTCCTTGCGATTTATCACGATCATACCGGGTTCCAGGAATCGATGAAGAAAAGCGACAGCAGTACCGATGACCGTTGTCACCAACGTGGATTTGCATCATCAACTGTTTTACCGACCTTCGTGTATCCTGAAAGAATCGATCGGTAAGAGTTTACACTACGATTCAAGATGGATTTATTAACATTTAATTATTGCTCATTTATTTATTAATTATAATTTATTTATTTATTGGCCCATTTGTTGATTTCTCCCATTTTCGCCCCTTAGTTTACTTGCTTTTCATCTTCTTTTTACATATTTGATTAACCGTATAATCACCAGTAAGGTCAATGATATGCAGCTATTCGCTCGTTAATGTATGCGTTTGTAACGGAATGAGTGGGCCTCCAAAATTTTAGAAGAGGTCGCTCTTGAGATGGTAATAGGTATTTAATTTTTCTCCGTCAGTTATATTTGATAACGTCACTATTAGTCTGGCCGGTCCGGCTGCCTTGCTTACCAATGGTATGGTTGTTGATCGATTTCGAAAGGAAATAACAAGTGGTGAAACAAGCGTCTCCATCCTTTGGCACCGCCCCGACTGATTGTGACGGCATCAACTTATGTGGTGGTTGAAGCGCGCACTAGGTGACACTCGAGTGAGTTATGAGTATAAGGGCTAAAACGGTAAATGTGGCACTGACACCTTGCTTCACTCGGCTATTTTAGAATGTGGCAAATAGTTTGTGCAGTGGAGAGCTTGTGTTAAAATCTTTCCCATTCGGTAGATCGTCGATTCGCGAGTTTCTACACCCATATCTAGATTGTAATGAGACTGAAGCCCGCTTGGGCTAGAGTCAAACGAATGCGGTCGTTAAGAATCCTAGGCGTGCAGGCGCCTGGCGATCTTGAGCAGAGAGGTTAGTGAATGGATAATCAAAACGAACTTCTATCAATTTCAGAAAAGTGTGAGGAGTTGGGCTGAATTCCTGTTTCCATTCTCGGTGAACATCCGAAGGCGACATTTCGGTGTTCTCTACCACATACGAAAGACGCTTGCACCGTTCTTGTATGCTTCCGAAACGAGGGAAATTTCTTTGGAGCAGTAAAGTAAATTAATTGTATATGTACTGTCATAATATTAGGTGGAAGAAAATCTTGTCACTGTTGTGACTTCTTTTTATTTTCTAACTCTACATACAATAGAAATTAGACAACAATATGCTCGTCATTGTTAGCCACTACAGTGCCCCACCCAGTGGGCAGGTAAGCATTCTTCTTTCCCTGAGCTGGGGAGGCTGCGAGTCGAGTGAGTCAGCGGCCTCTCGACTGATATCATCAGGGTTGCTGACAGTTCTCTTAGCTAAGAAAGCCTTAACGAGGGGAGGATACGTTCAGGTCCGTATAGAGGACTTATGTCAGAGGAGAATGTGTGAGACGGGGGTTGGTCTCCCATTCGCTGCTCCTCAATTATGGTAGGTCTTCATAGAGTATGGAGTCTTGCGCACCATCACGAACGAGATGCCCCGAAGCAAGTCTCGGTCATTTTCCTCCAAGGGTTATACGGGTTTCTCGAGCTGAGTGTCACGAATGGTAGCGGTGACCGTGTATTCTTACAGGGCAACTCGTTGTGCAGCATTCCCCTCATCTCCCAGAAGCAGCAGAGGAGAACCTCTCGGAATACATGTCCGGTTTGGAGTGCTAGGATGGATCTTCTCCTTGAGAGAGACTTATGGCACTGTATGGGTTGGAATCACAGAGATTCCGTTTTTCATCTCCACTAATCCGTCTCCTAGAAACTCCTTTTGTCGAGGGCGGAGAAGGGGAGACTGATCAAGGGGTACCCGGGTACACAGCGTACCATCGGTCGTGGTATCAGTGATCCATCGAGCTAGTACTTTTCGATAGTCAAGGGCTTACAGGCGCTTGACGACTGTCAGTTAGGTACATCCGAGTCTTGCCGCAACACTGCCAATTGTAGCTTCCGGCTTCTCTTTGACAGTTTCGAGAACGGCGGAGTCTTCCACTTCGTGAGGCGTCCCGACCGAGGTTTGTCGTCGAGGGTCACGTCTCCTTTTGCGAAGCGAGCGAACCAACGGTAGACAGTCCTGATGGTAACAGGGTACTCCCCCAATGCACTGTTGATGTTACGGACTGCGTCGCTCCGGTGCCGCGGCGACACTCGAAGGATGATCATTTGAAGATGCTCTTCTGAAACAGACATCGTAAATAAACCCAGGGAAGAGCAGGCGCCCTTATATACCTCTTGTGGGGAAGCTTCAAGAATGTTCTACAACCATAGCATGTTACGCCATCATCGTACAGCAACAATCAAAAACTGTAAGCTATCCAAAAAACACTGGCAGGACTTCCCTTACAGCCTATTACTTCCTTCTGACAGCCAACTAGTTTCGTAATACGTTTTGGAAGCTGATGACAATCCTGGCAATCGCCTTTAATTTGTTTCAAAAAACTCATCTCAAGCGACCCCGTAACAGACAGTTAATAACAACTTGCTTCCACTCCTACTAATGTAATTTTTGCAGCGCTTAAACGCCAGCTTTGACCGCCGTGTAGAAGGGATTCAACTACTGGTGTAGCTCTGACAAGATACCGCTCAAATTCCTCTGAGGTGAGCTTGTCCTTGCCGTCCCAAGCTTTTCACAGAGGAGATTTTGCAGTTACAGGGAAATGCTCCCCTAAACGAGACAATGTCTGACAGAGAACTAGTGGAAATCTTCGTGTCGAGGGGAGGCGAAGGACGTGGGTTGAAGAAGGTTTTCGATGAACTGTAAGTACTCAAATTTTTGAGGAATGGCTTACCTTATTGCCTACTTTATTTCACGAAAGCAGAAATTCTCTGTATATTCATTTTTATACAATGAGCTGCACCCTATTTTCTGTAGTACTCGAATACGGCGCTATTTACCTAACAACTAGCACAACAAGTTCCTACAGAGATCTACAGTTGAGGGAAGGGGGAAAGACACTTTTCTTCCTCGACTTTCGAGGCGATGTAAGTACACTCTACTGAATTCTGATTGAACATTCCTGCCATAAAACTCAACAACACGTTGTACACTATCACGAAACTCCGCCACAGCCTTTGAACGCCATCGAGAGATTCTGCCACGCGACCGTGATTCGGTGCCTGAGTTCAGCGAGATCGTTGATTTCTCCGCCACTGTAGACCACCCTGTTGAGCTCCGCCCGAACCGGGTAATTGAGGGGGTTTAGGTCAGGTGACACACTTGGATATTCTGTCTTCTTTGGGTACTCAACGCCCTTCGTTCCAAGTAGGCAAGAGTTTTCGATTCCATGTTGTGACACCCAATTCTGTAGCAATCAAAGTTTCCAAGATCGGAGCTGCTCGATGTTGGAGGTCTTCCAGATCAAGAGTGCTGGTCCCCAGGTAGCTGTCCATGGGTGACTCCATACAAGAAGTTTCGCAGCTGTTTGGAGGTGACGTGAATTCCATAGGCCTTCTCCAGTCAGGCTGCGATTGGAGATGGCTTCATATTTTGGTGTACATGAAGGTGATGGGCGAGAGCCTGCTCCTGCTTATCGAGGAACATCTTGGGTATCTTCCGCCCTGGTACTCGTATCCACGTCTTCTGTCTGGGCTGCGTAAACTTTACTGATATGTGACTTTTTGCCAAAGTGTCTTTTTTGCCCCGCCCCCTGTATAAGAACCTTGTAGATTATGTAGTTTTAGATGTAAAGTTTCCAATAAAGAAAGGCACATTCCCTGAGCACCTTACTAAACTGATGGCTCCACAAATAATGGAGATTGGTTTGTAGCCCTAGAAGAAGCTTCTTTCCAGTGACTCAATGCTGGGAATCGCTCCACTCTGCCTGAGCGCTTCTATGAATTGAACACGTTTGTTGAACCTCTCTGTCTGTTGTTTCTCTCGTCCTTCAGCTCTCATCCTGATTTATTGTTTGAGTTCCCTTTATTTCCTCCTCCGCGTGATCACACAATGGTTTAGCCCACTTGTAAGAGACGAAGGTTTTAGGGGAGGGGTATTTCATTGCGTTCTTTCTTTTTTTTTCTTCCTGAAAAAGCCACTGCAGGTTCGTTATTATGCTATTATGCCCGACTGCTCACACACTGCTATCCTGAAATCGGCACTACATGCCCTTTTTTGCGCCAGTGTTCAAAGCTTGGGCCAGAACTTCGACTGTCTGGATCGGACTGTTGATTCGACTGTTCAACCCTCCTCCTGAACACTTACGTAGCATCCGTTTTACTCAAAGCCGCCTAGCGGTCGCGTAACAGTAACTAGCGCCAAGATACTCTAAGTCAGCGTATTTGCCAAAAACTTCTCTCCAGGGATAGTTCAACCATTTGCTTTTTCTCCCGGGGAAGGCCACTTGCACGTTCAGTCCTATTTTCAAACCCCACTTCTTTCCATCTGCCATACAGGTTTCTATTAGATTACAAGGGTTGTGTCGTAAGGGAGTAATCAAGCTAGTAGGTAGTCACAACTAGAATGAATATTTCACCGAAAACCTTGTCAAAGGAGGATAGCTTGTTGCGTTGACTGGAACGAAAATCTGACTCGGATCGATTCCAAGGAAATTCAGCAACATGAGGAATCCAAGTACGCTTCATAAGATTGGTGTACTTTTCAGCTGCGAGAAAGGGGACAAATGCATCAGCCGCAAAAGTTTCCTCCGTTTTTTGCAAGTTTTTCAACGCGATCCACGATTAAATGAGGCTCGTCATCCGAAAATCACCGAAAGGGGGTCGCTCGGCTATCCGAAAGGTAACCACTCAAACGTTAGACGTTCTCAGAATTCAAATTTCGGCACTATTGAACAACTATTCCTACCCCAAAAACTCAAGAAAACTTTTTTCGCTAAAACTTTGTCTATAGATGTTATTCGATGTCCTGATCACGAATATGACATTTCTGGCGCTGGACGCCATTTGGCCGTAGCTTTTTTGCCCAAAAACCGATAAAAACGTGGGTAATAGGGTTGTTCGATACCCTGATCACGAATTCATTCCCCCCCCCGCCCCACGAGCGCTATTTAGCGTTCTGCTGAGGCTGAAACTAAGAAAATGAGCGATTTCCTTCAGGCCAGCTCAGTCTCAGCATAGCGCAGATGACCATAGTGTCCTACGTTAGCGCCGGCGCCAAGTATAAATATCATATTCGTAATCAGGATGTCAAATAACCCCCGTATACAAGTTTTCATCGATTTTGGTGATTTAGGGTGTTTTGGCGCCGGCGCCTGTGGCGCGGGCGCCAGGCGGTTTGGCCCAAGCGGATGTGATATTCGTGTTCAGGGGGTCAAACTACCCCTAGGGACAAGTTTTCAGCGAATTTGGCGCCTGTGGCGCGGGCGCCAGGCAGTTTTGGGCGAAGTGGATGTGATATTCATGTTCAGAAGTACCCCTGTAAACAAATTTTCAGCCAAATCTGCCCTTGAGAAAAAAGTCGGTAGAAAACCGGCCTGGTTTCGGCAGGCTGGGGTAGGAATAGTTGAATAGTGCCAATATTTCAACACATATACTCTCCATGTTGTCATGAGTGAAGGAGACTTTTGTCATCAAATATGTTTCAAGGCGTCGATATCACTTTCCAAGTCTTCGTTCACTACCTGTGGAGCGACTTCTGTGCCGATTCCCTGAATATTTCTCAAGAGCAGGGTAAGTTTGCATATGATTACATGAAGAAAGGGTATTCAATAACACTCGAGGAAAAGGGAGCCTTCCTTCAACCAGGAATGTCATCAAAGCGTTCTTTGCCGATTATTTTTCGAGAATCTATAACTTTGGGTGAGGTGTGTTTGTCACTGTTGTTGGGCCTGGGAAGGGAGCAGTGAGTCCATTAACACGACGACTGAGCTCGCGATTCCCTCGATTTCCTGAGCAAGAAATCGCGCTCTCCCACAGAGGGCCTAGCCTACGCTCAATTGATTTTTCTGTGTATAGATGATCGAAAAGTAAATGGAGACAAGCAAACCAACTCTTAAGAGCCAAAACCCAACTTCTTCGGACGCTCTTTGATAGTGAGCGAAGCATAACATTGGGCCGATTTGGAAGTGGACTACCGGGTGACGTGCTAATCTCACGTTTTGCGTCTTGTCTCCTAGCTTAGAGCTGCTCTGAACTTTTGCGATGATGCTTGTTTCGTAGTCGCTAGAACGAGTGCGCTTTTCTGGTAGAGGAGCGTTTTTATGGGCGCCCATATATTTGGTCACCCTGTGAATCCCATGCATTGTCCTATAGATGAATATAGGATTGGCCTCCATCTGAACCAGTTACAGCTTCCATTCCCAGGGTCGCTAAACTGGTACGAAACTTGTCTGGACCGAGAAAAACGAAAAAACGTGCATCGGTCCCTGCAGTTTATTCTCTTGGCCAAATTGCTTCTGAAAGTCTGTTGAGTGGAAGAAGGATACGCGCCATTTTCCGAAAACGATCTTACCATAAGCAACACAAATGGCTTCATCCTTGATGTACACAGTACTCAAAGCTGAAGAATACACTGTAAGCTACTAGTTTTGGAGTAGTTGGTACTAATTCCGAGAAATTTCAGTGGAGGATTCAATGCATGAACCACTACCGAGCTACTACATCAATTCTTCGCACAATACGTACTGCATAGGTAAGTACTGCAGGATGGGAATAAGCTAGTTAATGTGTTTTCCAATCCGGAGGCAAAATCTCAGTGTCTATTTGGAACCGCCTTTGAAAAACTTTAATAATTGTGCAGTATGAACAAAATAAATTCAACAGTCAAATATGTTGTGCGTTTGTAAGCCGTACGCAATGGAGTGAGTCACAATACGACTTAATAGATGTAAGCTGACTTAACAGCGAGGGAAAAAGTGAATAATACCGTGATGCCCCGAATAAGATTTTTTTACAGTTTATTATCCGCATTTGATAGGAAGTGAGAGGGAAAGAGACACTGGTAGGGCGCCAGACCGGAAACAAAAGATGAGAGAAAAAGAAAGGTGAGAGGGGACGGATGAGGATAGATGCGACCCCACACAACACAGCACCACTCATTCCTGTGGATACTGAACAAAACGCCGCTTTGATAAGGAAGCGGGCGAGAATCGGTCAAGTGGGATACTACGAGGCAAAGGACAGCCTCAGCGCCCTTCACTTCGATTCACTTGGAGGCAGCGGAGAGTGGTGGCAGTTCTCTGCGATGGGCGATGCAGAGCAGTTACCGTTGCACGAAGAAGGGAATTACGATGCAGTGTGTGGCCTGAAGCGTAATCAATGGGAGGCAAAGATCGTGAGAAAAGTGGTAGTAGTCCGCCACTATCTATACATTGGCCAACTATTCTGTTTGCTTATTATTATTATTATATTTATTATTATTATTATTATTATTATTATTATTATTATTATTATTATTATTATTATTATTATTATTATTATTATTATTATTATTATTATTATTATTTATTATTATTATTATTATTATTATTATTATTATTATTATTATTATTATTATTATTATTCACCTGATATCTGTCCTGAACTTCGATTTTTCCTGGACTTGGAAAGGTCGGGTCAGGGATGGGTAGGAGGGATATGGGACATGTAGCCTAGAAGAGTAGACCAGGTACTCACTCACTGAAAAGTAGTACCCGGCATACCGCCTTCCCTCCCCCACCTCAGTGAAGCCAGGATGGCCATAGAAGAAGAGCCGGCGTTAGCCGGCGAACCGGCAGCTAACATTCGGATCTAGTCTTAAAATACTGACATCCATGCTCTTTTGTTGAAGAGTTTTGAATACAAAAGAAAAAGTCACCAGAATTTCAGGTCTTGCAAGTTAAAGGAGCTCGGCTGTTCCCTTCCTCCGGCCATAGAGAGGCTATTGCTGACGTCGAAATATACAGACAGGTGCAAAATTTAGTTGTTGATTTTGCATTCAATGGGCACAGTCGCTTTTCTTTAGGTACTTCTGTCGGGTTGCAGATGCGTTGAATTGGACTGTTGGGACGGCTCCGATGGGCCCGTCGTTACCCATGGTCCAACAGCTGTCATGCGAATGAATGAAATCCCACTCAAGGTGAATCTAGAATAAGAAAAGTGCTTATTTTCCCTCGGGAAGCATTTTGTGAGTGCTATGAGTAGAGCTAGTTCTACAAGAGTCTGGGGAGTGTTAATTGCAGTCAGAATCTTCCCTTTTGCTCCATAGCACCCGACTAGAAGGTCAGGCAGTTTCTAGCCAAATAGGCTGTTCTAGGCCATATGTATAAAACGTGGCTAGAGTTGGAACTAGAGCAGCGAATGGAACTTGTCTCTTGTGAGACCGCAATATCTGAAATTGATCTGAATAACGTAGAAAGGCTTGTTATGGAAACATCCAACTTCTATACAGTGTTCGGCCATTGACTGAGGTGAGTTGAATCAGCTCGGCAGACCACTACGAGATGGCACTTTACCCACGTCAGCCAAAACGCCTACCTTTAAAGACCTTTAGCTTCATAACGTAACCAGTTGGCAACCCTAGAAGCTCTCTGCATCTCGATTTCACAGTCAGACGCTTCTGACAGTAGGAAGTAGTCCATGACGCTTCAAGTGACCTCTCGACTCCGAACTTCAGCCGTTTGCTGCCGCGTTCAAATGCTCCATGCTACCTGGCCACTCACAGTGAAAATGGTATCATTCCGTTACGTACATATCGTTCGTTATGTTACATATCGTTCGCATCATTACCCGAGACCCTGCCCTGGGTCGTTGTCCAGGACAGGCGGGAACAGAATTATGAGGTCTATTGCACCAAGTTGCGGTTCGGGGAGCGACCGCCCTACTTTAGCCCTCCACCACGGATCTTCGCGGGCCTCGTGACTCCCACCAGCAGAATACCACCTCTACCCACAGTTCTTCCGGTTACTGCACCACCTTCACGCACGGTATAGCCAGCGCTCCTACGGGTACTACCAGGGCCTCCGCCCGTGCTAGGCTGTAGGAGGACAGCAACCCAGTGAGCAAGTCCCATTGGTTGTATCGCCCTCACAACTGACCGCAACCAAACCATAACCTAACTCACCTTCACCAAACCGTTGCACCATTGTGTGCAGTATGACACAAACAACCGTCCTAGTTGTGTCGACCACATAAACCTATACAGCGCTCAAGTCGGCCTTTGCCCTTGCGCTCCCAAGTCCTATACATGAACAATAGTACATATTTATAAAGCTTGTATTCTACTGGCGGTAAACTTCTTCCTTCTTACCCTCAGCCTGCCGGTGTTGAGCTGACCACCCATCCTTCTTAGTCTTCCGTGCTAGCGGTAGCGGCACGTTTGCTCCGTGCTGCACCCATCCCAAACCCCCAGCGGATGTGTCTCATGCGGTAGAGCGGGCAGGGCTGTAACACGCTCTGACTAGACGAAGCAGTGGCCCGACACACAGTTCTGTGCAGAGTCAAGGCTACATTATCTCCGCACAGAGTATCCTGAGGTATCCTACGGCCCTTCTCCCGGAGCGAGAGAAAGCTGCCGACTGGCTAGCTGAAGCCTTATAAGGTTCCTGCTGTACCGTACGCATCGCGTATTGGCTATGTAGCATGGTGCCCCACCCATAGCCGCGAACCGAGCCGCGACAGCCAATCCCCCACACCCCAGGGAAGCCCTTTCCCTGTATATGATGTCAACGAAATTTTCAGAGAAAGGTTCTATTCTGATTTGAACCTTATTTGTCAGCCGTTGGATGTAACGTAAAGTAACGAGCTGAATGGTCGTGGGACTTTTCAGAGATTCTGGGGAGGTCCCGCCCGAATCAGTTGCCAGTTGATACGCCATAGATAAACAGAGGTAGTACTATCCTGCGCACATATGATGAAAAGACCCTTGGTGGAATCGAAGCAGAATTGTATGAAAAAGAACTCCGTTTTCCCACTTATCCTAACATCTTTGTTTCAGGTAGTTTGTGTGGCTATCGACGAGTGCGCGTTCAAGGTATCACCCTATCCTGTTCTTTTATCAATTGAAAACCATCTGAGCCAGCACCAACAAAAACTCATGGCACAGATATTCCGAGATACTTTCGGATCCAAGCTGCTCACCGATCCTCTCGACACTCATCCGGTTCGCTCGAGTTTTTGAGACAATGCTACAAAATTACAACTGCAGTCATATATTATTC